TGAATCACACTATCGAAACCAGTTAATTATGTGAACTATACATCACCAAAACGTTTTACCCGTGAAAGAAAGTAAGCAAAACTTACTAATCTTGTGCAGCTCTTCTTCCAAAAGTGCACCTTCGTTATTGCAGGGCTCTCTGTTGAAAGTGATGGGGAATGTGGTATAGGCGTTGTCTTTAAGGAACTCTGTAGATCTAATTAGAAAAATAAAACTGACATATGACAAGTGATAAATGGATACCTAAAACGTAGGTGATCTCAGCGAAGACAGCTTGTGTACAGCACATGTCTATACGTTTTTCACCAGAGAAGGGAGCGGTTCATATCTACACTTATACTTTACTGCATCTTTGTTCTGCGTTTTCGTGAGGCAGTGAAAAAGTATTTAGTGTTCTTCATTTTATACACATTTTAAAAGATCCTGAAAGCTCTTAAAAATCGCGTTCAAAGTTAACGATTTCAAACAAAAGACGAGAAAACTTTCTAAGTGGAGTGGACAAAGAAGACATGCCTGCTGTTTCTAAGGAAACGAATCAAATAGTTGGTAATATCTTAAATAAAAATGAGCTCCAAAGAAAGCGAACTGTGACGTTAGGGAGTAACTCGGTGAAAAGACACATGGTGACTGTTTCACTGCTTATTTTACCATTTGTATTAAAGCTGCCAGTTATTATCATACCAGTAATCAATGGTTAGCAATTCTTGGACACTTTTCATAATTAGTTATGTCAATAAAAGCAATCGGCCGACAGCTGTGGTTATCAAAAAGGAGGCAGGTAATAAATATAACAGACAGACTTACAGATGCTTGGAAGTATAACTTGTTACCAGCGAAATTGATCTTTCAGTTCACGATGTCCTGTTAGGTGAGATAAAACTTACAACAAGAAGGAACTGTGAGGTGTGAAATAATTGGCGTGAATGGGCCAACAGGAGCAAACAAAAATCAAAACAAAACAAAAAAGAAAATGCACGACACAAGCGTACAAAAGGAACCACATGGTTTTACCCTAATGGAAAAGGGCTAAAGATGATCTGTTTGACATATCGAG